CTAGGATGACTTCAGAGTTTTTCCATAAGAACTCTTTCGCATTTCTATAAACTAGCTCTTCTCTGATTGTGTTACTCACTTTGACTGAGACTGCTGCTGCTGTCACTTCTAACCTTGGAATAGTGATGACTTTTATGGGAGACATGCAAGATTTTCCCATGATGAAAACCGAGTGAACATCCATCCTTGTTATTAAGTCTCAGATAAGAACACTGTCCATACTCAAATGTGTTTGCATCTGAGAAATAATGCAGCTCCCCTTTCACCACCCTTCCATGGTTGGCAAGCACATAACATCTGGATATCTGTATTTTCCCCAGATGGAGGAGATTTTTTCTGTGGTCTCCGATGTTCAGGCAGGTCATCCCAACCAACACTTCAATGACACATTTCTTGAAGATTTCCCACTGAGAAGATAGGGGGCAATAGATCCCAGGAGGTTGTAAATAGATGCAACACCGGATAATATTCCATGCTGTGTGGAAAGTTGGTCTTTTCAGTGTGATGTTGAATGTAAAGCAATCCCTTTCTATGCTCCAATGAGCCAGTTTACTTAGCTGAGCAGTAAAAGACACAATTGTTCTGGTTTCTTTGGGTGATAAATGCCATGATGTGGAAACCATTTCTCCCCATGAAGTCCATCATCCTGAGCTTTCTCTACATCACCTCTTTTGATGATGTCACTCAATATAATCTGTACTTAATATAATCTTCATTGTATTTCTCATCTTTGGAGAAGATGTGTTGGCTGACTCGGACCTCTGTGATCTGTCTGCAATTAGACATGTATGGCCTTTCCTTGACGGGCAATGGTATTTCATTATGTCGTTGTTAATTTTTTCTTATGCCTTGTTGAGGAAGATGGGATCCTCTTCCCTCACATTACTTCTCAGCCTGCTAGTTTACTCCATTTTACGTTAGCAAAGCGAGCAACAATAGCCACATTTTTCTGAGGGCAGCAGGGTATATAATACAATAGATAAGAGTGACTGTGCATTTTCCAAAAGCCCCTTGATGGAGGACAAGACATGGCCTTTTGTTAAATCTTGAGCATGGAAGCTCATTTTTCACCGTGAATGTGGATGGAGAACATTTTCTCACACATATTGTGAAACTGGCAATTAACCACAACATTAAAAAAACAAAATACTTGATTTGTTCCTACATTCAAAATTTAGATTTCAAGCTGACAGCCCTAATACATATTCACAAACAGACAAGTTACACTCACACACAACTTGCAGCTAATAGGACTGCATTAGCTATGACTGTCCAAAGCCCTCGTCACAACCTATGTCGTAGCACTATGTGCCGATTCAAAAAAGGAAACCTCACACTTTGTGTGTGTGTGTGTGTGTGTGTGTGTGTGTGTGTGTAACTATAAATGTTTATTTGTATGTGGGTGCATTTGTGTGGAGCTGCTTCCCTTCATCTATGTACGTAAATACATAATTTTGGGTGTATGTGTGAGTGCTTGTGTGTGTACAGTATGAGTGTCTGTGTGAGTCAGCACTGTGATCCTGGACACAGTGGGATGAATCACATTGTGGTTGTGGCGGTGGTTGGAAAATAGACTGGTAGCATCAATAGATTTCAGCAAAACTCCTAAATGCGAAACATATGTATAGTCCATTGTTTCTTGTACTGTACATGATTACAATTTAAATGATCATCCCAGCATGACTGGAGTGTTTGCTAAGTTATTTCATTTTCAGTCCCTTTAATGTTCATTCTGACAGTCTTTGACAAACATCTAAGGGCTCATTTATTCTCATTAAATCCTAAACAACAGCTTCAAAGACTTTGACTGCAGTCAGTATAAGTAGTCCCCACAATATGAGAGTAAGAAGTGTTATTTAAAGTTACATACAAACATTAATATCAGGTTATTTATGAGCTAATGACACAGGAGTCTGAGACTTAACACTGTAACCCATCCACCAATGTGTCCCTGAGCAAGACACTTAACCCCTAGTTGCTCCAGAGTTGTGCTACCTCTGATATGTATAGCAATTGTAAGTCACTTTGGATAAAAAGCGTCAGCTAAATGAATAAATGTAAATGTAATAAATGTAATATCTCATTTCTTTGTATATATTAGGTTTGCAGCAAAGCCAAGTAAGCCACTCTGGGAAAATAACTATGGTGAACATCTTTATAATACAATATAATATATAATATTTTGTATATGGTATATTATTTTGGGTACACTTATCATGTATATATTATCACCATCCTGGGAAACCGTATAAAATAAAGGCAGAGGAAAATGTGCATTTTCAGATGGTTTATAATACCATCTTTGCCATAGGAAAACATTAGGAAAACTCTGTGCAATGGAAAAAGTGTACATCTGAGGTAGTGTTACATGTAATAGCATGACTAATAGGGAAAGTCTTTACAACATGTGTGAGCTGCACACCCACTGGGCACATGGGGATCATGACAGTATATGACTACCGCGGCAGATGGAAAGAAAACGCTGACGACCAGATGTGAAGGAGCTGGACACTTTTCAAAGCTTTACGCCTCTCCTTCTGAAAGTAGCCTGGTTTAATTCTGGCAAATTAACAGTTTTTTGCATGCATCACCAGGACCGCCTTAATAAGTACCTATTAATAATAATTGTGATGCTATCTCCTGTAATAAACTGATGTCAGGCAAAACAAGACAGACTAATTAATAAGTGTGGACACTTCTGATGGGTTGTTGCAGTCTGCAACAGGTACCCACCGTCTTAACTCTCACAGCTAATATCATTCATATGATTATATCCAGATTTATAAAGCTATGAAGACGCGAAAAACAAGCTGTGGTGTTTGTTGGACTAAAGAAGAAAACATCTAAGCTCTCCAGCAGAATTTCCCTCAAGAGACACAACAGGAGACAACCACTAATGACAAATGTAGCTCCTGCCTGCTGGGATGACACATCCAAAGCTATGCATAATGTTTCCATTCAGTCAAGTTATCACAGAAATTCTGCTATTGTCACACTTTAGCTTCTGGCTCATTCTATTCTGGATCTGCTGTTCTCCCCTCTCTCAGACGTGGTGCCTCATATAGCATCAGTTGGCGCTTATGCGTCACCCTTAGGCTGGACAACTCACCAAGCCACACACACAAACACACACACACCACCCACAAGGGAAGAAAGAATGAAAATGCAGTAATTAACCATTTGAGGGGGAATGCATGTGGCTGAGGACGACCAGTTGAATGTTATAAGTCCAGGGGCCACAGAACTGTAGGGAGTGAGTCGACAATCTGACAGGCAAGCAGAAGGCGAGCTGACTGGCTGGTGGACTGACTGGCATACAGGCTGCGTGAAGTGCCTAACAGCGATGAGGGATGAAAGCCCTCCTTTAAAAGGTCACGGTGCAGATCTACTGTGTGTTTTAATAGTGAAACACATTTGGACAAATCGGTGTTGACGCAGCGTGAATAGGTTCTGATCCAACAGAACCACAGTTCTTGTTATGTCACTGCATAACTAATTTAAGTACAAGTCTAATCGCAATATTGCAGTAAATCCATTCAACAAATAATAACAGTAGTAAAGTGGTATACCATAAACCCACTATGGAGCACTAAAGACACACTTTGAGTCAGTGGTAGACTGTTAGAATGATATTTTGTTAGAGGATTCTCCAACTATCCAAAAATAGACTCGAATATAACCCGTCCTTTGCATGACTTTGTACTGCGGAGATGCCGGCAGGTGGGACAAACAGTCCTACCAGATGAAGTGAGTGAGTCACTGTAAAATCTGCGGAGGAGACAGATGATACAGTGCACTGCTCAGTGTGACTGACTGAGCGCAGAGGCCACAGTGTATCATACTACATCAAAGCCGGTTATCTACCGGTTGCATAGTGGCTGAAGAGTAGGCTATACTTGAATGGCTGGCAGCTTTGTGAAGGGAAAGCGCTGCATGTTTGCCAAGAACAACTGCGTCCAATTTCTTTAGGGCAGCCGAACTGCTTGAGAGACCATGCGAGCAAGAAGCTCGAGAATTTAATTCCAGCCATCAGGTTGTGAAAATTAATCACATGCGGCGCAGGAGCACTGTACAAATACAAAACCTGCTCATTGTGCAGCCTCCGGGGCGCAGGGAGCAGTCAGTGGAGCCTACAAATAAACATTTGAGTTTTGGGGGGGAGCAAATTCGTACATTTTCAGTGAGCAAAGCAGCGCATTGGCTCATCTACTTCCTGAATGGACACAGATACACAGGCTGTCTTAATATTAAATTATTCATTTTGTGTGCAAGATGTTCATTATGCAGGTCTGCTTGTTTGCTTTGGCTCCATAATCACATCTGACTTGACCTTTGCGTCTCATGTTGCCACTACCAATAAAACTGTTTGTGTTGTCACAAACAACAGATGACTCTAATCTTTGTACACTCATCAAAAACAACTCTGCAAATTAGGTTATGTTTCAATTTGGCCTTGCTCAGACAGTACTGCTGAGGCACGCAGCTACTGTTGACTTAAAACACCAAATAGACCGTGACAGCTATAGGCTGCAACCCGAGTCAGCGAACTCTGCTATTCAGGCACCTCCTCAGCTACCACCTTCTGAAAGGATTTGCCCTGCCATGCTATCATTCTGCCCTGGAGTGTGAACTACACGCTGAGTTCAGATTTCATACTCTTTGGCATTTTAAACTGGAGTCTGGACCGGAGTGCGTTCATTCAAACGGCGCAATGTGGCTCCTGTCCTCAGCACGCATTCGGCGGAGGATGCTCGAGTTAAAAGGGCTCGCTTACATCTGTCTTGCTTCAGACATCCTATCATCTCCCTGCGAGGCAGCCTCTGTTCAAGAGACAACACTCAAACATGAATTAATTTTGAGGCCCGGCCGTGAGCTCCCAAAGAGCGCAAACTGGAGATGTTTTGACCTGCCTGCCAACCCCTCCGGGCTTCATCCCCGGCGAGACAGTGTCTTTTTAGCGGGGATGTGATGTGAATGCATCGTTAGCACCTCTGTCTTACCGGCTGCTGTATGTGGCGAGACGTCCCCTTCCCGGGCGGAGGAAGATGCTGCCGCTGCCGCTGGTGGACCCCGTGCTGGAAATCGCTGCCAGCGGCTTTGTTGTCCCTCTTCTCCCGCACGTTGGAGCCTCCGTTTTCCCTGTCTTCGCCGGAGTCGAGGCTGCTGAAGTTCCACACAATCAGCGTCTGCACCAGCAGCACCGTGAGGGCAGCTATCAGGGCGGACCGCGACCGGCGGGCCAACCTGCGAGCACACACGCCGCCAACCATCTTCGCACCGGGCTGCACGGAGCTGGAGGACCGTCTGTGGCTCTGCAGAGCGCGACGGGAGGAAGGACTGGAAGTAGAGAGAGGACGAGGAGGAGGAGGGAGGGAGGGAGGCTGAGCTTGATGGTGGCGGAGGCGAGGAGGAGCATCGTGGAGGAGAAGCACAGGGCCACCATGTGGTGAAACGCGTGTTCAGCGACAGACTTGATACTCCAGGCTACTGGACTCGTGTCTTTTCTCTCTATGACAGAAATTCACCCTAAATGTTCATCTTTCCAAGATTCTGATAATAACAAAATACCTGCAAATGCTGAATATTCAAATGCTCAATATCATTATTAAGGCAGATTAGCTGTGTTACTTGGCCTCCAGGGGTGACAGATAATCTCCAACAGGGGCGTAGCCTGGAATTCTGGGTCCCCTGATAGGCCTATAGGCTAATATTGCCTCCGGGAACCATTTAGCTAATTCAAACATCCCAGTTGAATTTTTGTACGGCCTTCGCCTTTGGAAATATTTTTATCTCAATTTTAAACCCCAATTGCTGGATCCCAGCTGCAATCCAATAAGGAAAATGCTTTCTTCTCTGCCTCCCATGATGTAAGTTACAGCTGTGTGGTAGCGCTGCTATGAATTCAGATATTTGCCCCTCCCTGGCTGGGTGTGCCTGGTCATTTGTTCTTGCTCTTTTGAATGATCCAAGCCACTGTAAAGGCCCCCACTTCAGTCCTCTTGGAAAGACTCTTGCGTTTGGCATCAGTATTATTTCTCCCCCTGCCAACATCCACACATCACATTTTTCACATATTCATTCACTTTCTCTTTTTAGCTGACCTTATTTGGACATGATCAGAGAGCAGAGGTAATTGAACTCATACAATGTGTGGAAATACATAATAGGCTATAGATATTTTGATATAAAATAAGCATCTTCAAAGATATTGAATGGATTCAAATTTATTGGACAGAGAGTGTATTGGCCCCACAATGCTGTGTCTGCTCTACAGAAAACAAATTCTTAAAATTTAAGTTTAACTGGCAACAAGGAAACACAGTTACAACAGTGAGGATTTTGGGTCCTTTGCAACTGTGTTTTATTGGTTTATAAGCACATTTAATACATACATTAAACATGAAAGTTCTGCATCAGATTATGCACTAGCTGTCTGTTGGTCTTAACTGTGCATGGTAATTATGAAGAAAAACTACAAGACATCTTAAAATGATGATTTCATTCACACTGAAAGGAGACTGTCTAGCACTTGCTAAGAGTTTGTGTAGGAAGCTTCATAAATAACTCTCAACTCGTACTCTGAGGTGGGAATATTTTTAGTCCAATCAAACTTCTTAGGAATGAGAGAGAGATGCTTGTTAAAAACCGCTTCCTGAGCTCCACTGACATGCAAACGCAATGAGTAACAGAGACAGAAAGCTTCTCTGGCGGATACACAGCACAACACCTCACCTACACCAAGATGGTAATTTGGGTTTTGCTTGGTTTGTATAGTAACAGGATGATGACAGGTTGATGCTGCCAAGCTTAAGACCTAAGCCAGCTATAAAATGAATAGAAAACACCTTAAGAACACACGAAGAATAATCTTAAACTTTGACTTATGAGTCGAGAAATTCTTCGCAAAAATAGGGCTTAGGCACTTTGTGTATGTGCTAAAATAAACTTACAGCTCCATCTAAATCTGACTCAAATACTGACGGCAGTGACTCCTGAGTGTTGTTAAATGAGGACAAAAGTGATGTCTACCAAAAATGCTCTTCCCTCAAGCACTGAATCAGCCAATCGCAGGCCTCCAAAGGTTATGTGTCAGGGCTGCATCACACCATTCATCAGGGTTTAGTGCACACCTCTGAAAGCCCACTCATCACTCATTATAGCCAATGTTCATCTAATAAATTGAAGGATAAGAACGTTTATACTGTATGATGAGACTTTTGCCGACAATAATGATTAGGTTAGACTTGAATCAGTTAAAGAAAGCCATGTTTTCAAATGTAAGTGATAAATATCTGTGGAGGGCCGGTCAAAAGTGCATTGTGTGCATGCATGAAAAAAAAACAACTAATTTCTCATTGAGAGATGTATTATTATACAGCAAGTGTCCAATCAAGATTGGCTAAGTGTACTTTGTGTTAGCTTGCCAACTTATCTGGTGGTGCACAAAGATGTACTAAAGAGCTCTGGTGTGGGACAGACCATCTAACTTAACTCAACTTTGTTTCATCATACATTTCCAAAACATCTTTTTTTGCATTGGAAAGTCTGTGGATGACTACTAACTGGGTTATTGAACATTTTGTGCTCTCTTAAATCGTTTATATGCTGATGTCTTAACAACATGTGGCATTCATTCTAAATTTAAATAAGCATAATGCAAAATGATTTATCCAAACCTTTTTTTAATGTCATAGAGAAATGATAGTTTGAAAGAAATGTCTAACTATTAATTTGCAATATGAATACCTATATGTAATATTATCCCTCCACTAATTAGTTGGAACAGGCTGTATTTGCCAGTAACCACAGTATGTTAATTAATACCTTAATACCTAAATTTCAGCAGCTGCTAAAAGCTCCACTATGTTCACCAGCTAGTTGTTAACTTTGTCAGTCTGTTACAGACACAGTACAGTTGGTCAGAAGATGAAAACAATGAAATGAAAGATGCTAAAATGCTTTGTAGAGATGAGGGGAACTGCAGGGTTAGGGATAATTGTCTGTTGGTTCATCACTAAGAGCAACACCTTTCATGTAACATGTAGTCTTTTGATCCATTTTTATATACAAATATTAGTGCAGCTTTAGAGCTTATACACACCCCATGAGGAAGCTAGAGTGACAACTGTGACACTGTGATAAACAAGACCCATCGATCTAAAGGTGTTGAGCCTGCTAATGGAAAAGCTCCACCAAATGCAATATTGGTTCGCCTTACCACTCAAAACAGAGCCTTGTCTGATGTTAAGGTTATAGTTTCATCTGCCTTATATTCAGACAAGAACTAAAGCTTATAATGAAAGCCGCCATTCTGCGAGGGGAGTGTTTTTAATTTACCAAGATCCACAAGGGATAGTTACATCAGACTCTGTGAATTGGTAAACGAAGCATTTATCATGTTTACTCTATGGTGTTGAATAAGTGATTGAGCTTTAGGCTACTAAAGTCGGCAGATGGGAGCAATGACTATTACCCAATCAAAAACAAAAAGCCCAAATTTAAAGAGTTTGAACTGACTGCAGAAACTTTGAATTGATGTACTCTCTACAGCTCGCTTTTCTTTGATTCATGTTTAAAGGTAAACCTTGGCGAACTCAGCTCCTGGCTAATTGCAAACCAAGACTCAGAAACCTTTAGGACACAACATACAGTATTATTTAACACTAAAGACAGAGGACACACACACTTTATTTAACAACGCTGAAGAAAGAGACACTCTCATGAAAGCCATTCATGGTCAAATCCATTTTGGTCTTTTTTCTTTGTTTTGGAGCAACAAGCCATTGAGGTGAATAAATAAGATATTAGACCTGACACATGCAGTAGATGTAGCTTTCTGACACATTGATAGCTGGTTATATATTGAATGATGGGCAAAAATAAGATAATTGGGGAAGGAAAACAAGAAAATTGCTGGATGTGAACAACAGACAGGTTTTGCATATATCAAGTCTAGGATTGGGAAGTGAATTATATACTGTAGTGGCTGCTGGAAAACACACAGATAAAGAAGTTATCATTGTGAGCACCATAGTGCGGTTTTCATCTTCATGAATGCCTCGACTGACGAGCAGACAAAGCATAACAACGCAAAGCCCAAAACAACAGCTCTGTAGGAGACAAAAGCGGCTATATCTCTCAGACTGCAAGCCGCTGACCTTGTGGTTCTTCAGTCAACACGGCAATTAGACATTCCCGGAATTACATCTGGGCCTTTTACAATAGCTGCTCATTTTCAGCTTAACCGTTTGTTAAGCTTATCCCTGTACACTTCTCCCCCATCAAAGAGTCAAAGAAGCAGTAGAGCACGTCTATCCAAACTTTAGCAAAATGAGAGGGAGCAATTTGTTTATCCGTTTTGCAGACTATCATACAGCCGGGTAGGCGGGAATATATTGCTGTTGGATTGCTGCACTTGTCACAAAGAAGAGTTGATAGTTTCTAAAGCATTCTGCCATCCATGTGCAAGTGTTTAATTTGTATTTTCATCACACAGCTTTCTTAGTGTTTTGGCAAATGATTAAGTTGGTGGTATTTCTGCAGGCAAAAAGAGCCAGCGCTGCAGAGATAAGGCTGCAGACCACTGATAGATAAATGTAGCATTGAATTTCGAAATGTCTTTATATGCTCACAGACACTCCTAAGATATTTGAGCATCTTATAAATGTTAATTCTTACTTCATCAATGAAAGTGAGGGACAGGAGGAGGGAGAGAGAGCCTGGCTACAACAAAGATGAGGAAGAGGAAGGGAGGAATGAGCGAGGAGATACATGCGCTGCCATTATTGAGAGCAAAATAAAAGAAGAGCGAGATGAAGAACAGTTAAAAGACAAAACTAGATGTAATTGTAAAGTAGGGGTGAAGTCAGAAAACTAGAGAGAGAATAGAAAACATAATCAAAGCATGGCAAGTACACCGATAGGGGTACTAAATTAGCAAAGAGCAAAAGGGTGAGAGTCAGAGGAAGACAGAATCGAAAAGCAAAACCATTTATGAGCTCAATGTAAAGAGATTAAAGACAAAGAAAAGGAAAAAAAACGAGACAGCGAGCAGCTCATGCTCCTCTGGCAGCAGAGCCATGTCTTCCCCACTCATTAGCTGTAGCTCTGTTGCTTAGGGGACCGAGTGGGCCGACTCTGGCCACGACAATGGTTACAATTCCCTGCGGCAACAAATGCTGATTTTAATTAAAGCCAACCTCTTTGTCACTCAGAGAGACAGACGCACACACATAGGCTGACCAGAGTAACTCGCTGGGAGATTCGAGCAAGCATGCAACGTGTCCTCACAAACAGAGAGAGAGAGACAGATGAGCAGCCAGCTGGTGGAGTGAGTCTGAGGA